TGCATCCGCAGCTCCGTCTCCTCCATACTAGGCATCTCTGCCCATTAGCAGCGGGTACGCAACGAACCTTGATCCTGCCTGCGAAAAACTGCAGGGGAACGGGGGCTAAAAGACGCTTCCGCCCGGCAGGCACTTCTCTGCCCCCACCAAACCTCCTCACCAGTAGGCTGTGGCTCGTCCCGGAGCACTTGCCCACAGCCAGGGCAGGCCTCGAACTCGCGACACCGTAGCTTCCGCCCGTGGAACCAGACCTCAAACCCGCGGCAAGCACCTGGAGCCGGGCATCTCCTGTGCGCATGCGCCCGCGGCATGCGGTTACCCGGGCGTGCCCCGCCAAGCATCCTTCGGCCACGGCTGCACCAGCCAATCGAGGGGCGGCCCCTTGATCAGGCCACGCCTCTTTGCATCTTTCCCTGCTTCACGCAAAGGGGCCCGGAAAGCGCTGCGACCGAGCGGCTCCACCGCGCACCGGCGAGCGCAGTGCTCGCTCTGTGCTAGCGGAGTCCCGGAAGGGTCGCCAGTGACTCTGCCCGACCGGCGGAACGGGGGAATGCAGGAGCCGGGGGCGGCGCGAGGCCAAGTGGGAAAGGAGCACGTGCCAAGAGTCGCTGTGCCCGCGGCGGCTCGCGTGGCTGCGCGGATCCTCCGTCTCCCTTCAGTGTGGCCCGAAGCCAGCGCGGGCTTTAGCTGAGGGTTCGTTGAGGGAAGCTGGTTCGGCTCCGCCCGGACGAACGCGCTGTGTGAACGCAGCGGCGGGCCGAGCACGCTCCGAAGGCAGCTCCCTCCTCCCGGCCCAGCGCCGGCAGCTTCCGGCTGCGCTCAGCTTTGCGGGGAAGAAGTTCAGGCCGGCGGTGGGGCTCTTGGCAGCTAATTCATTAAATGCCTCGAGTTATGCAGCCGCCCATCTCACAAGTGCGATTCAGGGCGTGTAACCGAGCCTGGGGCTGCCCCCGAATTTGGGCGGAGAGGCTGGATGATTCCCAGTGGACTCGAGGTCAAGGAAGCGGTGCGCGGGGTTGCCCGGGCTCTGAGCACCGTAGAGGGAGAAAGGATTGGTTCTGCGCTGGGCCCGCCTTCTCTGGCCTTCAGGTTCACATGGGAACGCTTGACTGCGCAACACGTGAACAGGCGGCGCGTCCCAGCCGGCGACGTCTCCTTCTCAGCTAGCCCGATCTGCTTGTTCTGCGCAGGGAGCGGCCTGTCTCCTGACGACCTTCCACCGGGGAGGGAAGCAGGTCTTGCCCAAACAAGGCGCACATTTTTCTTAGCTGAAACCCACACCTGGAAAGCAAACAGCTTTTGTCCCAGCTGGAGCCTGACCGGCAGGGCTCCACTGCAGCTGGGCGCTTGGAAGCACTTGGGGCGGGCCAGCAGGCTGCTGCAGCCAGAGGTCAGCTGGATCTCACTAATGGTCACGCTGGTGGCAGCAGACCCTGGTGGCCTTGTGGAGCAGTTCAGCGTGGTTCCTAAAGGAACATGCTTTCTGAACATAAGCAGAACATTGAACCAAATTAACCAGATAGGCTGGGTTCCTCTAATGTGCCCACTGCCCCATCCTTACAGTGAGCACTGGTCAAACTGAGTGCCTGGTGCAAATGCAGATAGGCCCCCGACACTGTGTGGAAGCCCCTCAGCCATCCCCAAGCCCCTTTCAGCTGGCTGGCCTCCCGAGGCTGAACTCCCAGGTGAGCTAGGATCCTGGTGAGAATCATTCTGATTCACTTGGCAGAACTAGCACAAGGATCAGTGCAGCAGTACAGGAGAAGACTGGGGAAAGGGCTGTCTAGCTGTTGGTACTGGGTGCAAACTGCATTGATCCCCCCATCCTCCACAGAGCAAATGAATCCTGGAGCAGTAGAAAAAAATCAAGAGCCCCCCCCCCCCCGTATCTCCAGTGGAGGGCACGGAAAAGGTAGGCCCTGCAATTGCCCATCATCACAGACCAGTGTTCTTGCCAATGGGGCTCTCTTTGATCATAAGTCCAGTTGTAGCAGATCTTGGGGAATCTGCACAGCATTTTGGGATTCTTCTTACCATTTGGGCTACAGCATTTCCCCAGGTTTCCATGCCTGCAGAGTGGAACCAGAGTCAGTATGCATGAGAAAAGGTGCAGATACCAGCGAGAGGAGGTTGATTGATTGGAGCGCCTCTGGAAGAGCCATCCTTCGTTCTCTCTGACCATCACATTGCCTTACTCTCCCACACAGCCCCAAACATACGGAATTTCTGGTAAGACTGGAGAATATCATGGCTGTATCTTTTCAAGTTTCTTTTATTGGCTACCTTTTTCAAGATGAACAAGCTTTGGGAGTTTCAGTTTCCCACTCAAGTCCTGGCAAAAATTACTGGCTCCTTTTTCTTTTACAGTTTTAGTTTTTGTGGTTTGGTGGAGTTTGGTTTAGCTTTGCGTAAGGCGCCGTGCTAAAAGATAGGACACTGTGTAAAACGGCTCTTGTGAATAAAACAAGCTCTCTCCTGCAAGCTCAGTAGTGCTCTGGTGGGTCCCCGGATTGCGCAGAAAGCAGGCTGGGGTTTTCAGGTCAGAGCTGTAGCGCTGCTTCTAGTGCCAAAGCTGCCCCTTTGGCAGGGCTGTGGAAATGGGGCCTTCTACTGAAGAGCGCAGCCAAGAGCTCCCTGGATTTACCCACCAGTGACTTATGAAGAAGCAAAAGAGAAGCCCCCCCCCATCTGCTGTGGTCCCAAGTAGCTTTTCTGCCCAAGGTTCCACCACAACTCTGGCTCCAGGGCATTGCCTGCAGGACTGCCCCATGCCAAGCAAGACGCTAATGCTCCTCGCTCCCCTGTGCAGCCTGGGCTTGTTCAGGTTGACGGCTCCTGGTGGGGTGGGAGGAGGAAGCCAACTCTGTCCTGCTGCTCTTGGGCAGGACTGACTCACAGCACCGGCTCACAGAAAGACGGGGGGAGGGGGCAGGGGGTGCTCCACCTCCCTGCTGCCTGTCCCAGGCTGGGAGGGGGCTGTGGAGGAGTCTAGCTGGGAAGCTTTTCTTCTGCTCAGAACTAACCATCCCCTTTTTCTGTCGACTAAGCCAGGACACATGTCTGAGCAGAACAAAATGGGCTTGGGCATGCCGCGCTCTTTCCCCACCCTGTTGGAGGCTGGTCCTGCCCTCAGAGTCCAAGGAAGCTGTTAAGCTGCTGAACGGAGCATTGATGCTTGCCTCTTCCTTGTGTAGACTAGCACCAACATGCAACAGCCCTGACTACAGAGCCGAGAAACCACCATTAAGCTGCCACCCAGTTTGCAGGCCTGAACAGTCCTCAGCCGTTCTTCCGCCCTGGTCTACCACAGAACTTCTGACCTGCCTGCATAGTCATGAGGGTTTAGGGAAGTGGCAGGATCCTGCTTTGCATATCTAAAGTTATGCGCCCTTCCCAGGGAGGCTGAGAGACGACTGCCGATCAATCTTTCTAGCAGTTATCTTGTGTCCTGTGAACTTGACACAAAGCTTTTGGTACAAGCACTCTTTCAAACGTTTTGCCTTCCCTCAAGCTGCCCACCCAAGGAGGGCACACCAAGAACAGCCCATCATGCATAAAGCGCTGAGGGGAAGTTGCGTTCAAGGCAGCAGTTTCTGCTCCCTCCCTCCCGGCTTTTGACATCTGCAGCAAATCCCTCCCCTATTAGTAAAGTGTATTTGCACAGAAGCAGGGGGAGTCAGCTCAGAAGTAGTGCCTCCAAAGTTCACTACTGTGTTGGCATTCAATTGTTACTGTTTCATGCTGGTGGTGGTTTATCGTCTTTCATCACAGCAAACTTGTATCTGAATATCTAGGGAAACAATCTTTAGAAGACCATGAGCTGGGGGTTTGTTGATTCCTTTCCTCCTGGCCATAAAGGTGCCCTCTTGCACTGCTCTGCAAACATACCAGAGCACCTGCTCTGGGCAAGTCTTCTGCCAGCCAGAATCCAAAATGCAGCTTCAGGGGGCCCTCAGGGTCACTCTCTCTCACACACAGTCCGCAGGCCAGTGACTCCCGTTCTGCTTCTAAAACCCCTCTCTCTGCATCTCAGGCTGTTTCTTTCTTACATTCCCCATTCAGGACTGGCTTGCACCCAACTTTACTCCTCAGTTGCTACTTGTGTGTGTGTGGGGGGGTGTATATGTCCCAGAACTGCAATGGAATTACCACGGCATCTCTCAGGCGGTCCTTTGACTTGCCCAAAGAAAATGCCTCCACCAGGAGAGACTCCTGTTGGCGCAGGAGCCAGAGATGCTGGCCCCAGCCCCTCTCACAGGACCCTTCTGCTCCCCAAGCAGTCCCTTTAAGAAGTGCCACCCTTTTCAGCTCTGCCCAGCACAGGCCCAGGGCAAACAGATATAAAAAGCCCCAGCCCCCAGCAGGCACAGCTTCAGGACTTTGGGAGGAATCAGAAAGCAGTCACAAGGTCATTCCATTTTAAAAATTTTAATAGATTTTTCTCTCCATTTTTAGGAAATCAAAGTAAAGCTGCAAAAACAATTATGAACAATTTTACTAAATAGGATTTAACTGATGAAATTGCCCCAACTGGCAAGAAAGGCAGAGGATGAGAATCAAGCTGCGCAAACCCTGGAAATTTTCTCTGGATCACTTTTTTTCCTGTGCTGGAAGCAGAAGGGGTGGCTGAGCCCAGAAAGGTTGGGGGGGGGGCAGGTGCTGCCGGGCTCTGAAAAGGCCCAAAGAGGCGGCCACCGTGGATGGGCTGCAGCATTTCTCAAGACATGAGTTGTATAAAAAAAGAAAAGAAAAAAGTTGTTTCAGAGAAACAACTGAGAAAGAACATCAGAGCTTCATGCCGCTTGTCCACCTCTATGACGACTTGGCACACTCTTTTTCCTGTTCAATGGCTGAGGAGAGAAAAAGCACCTTAAGCATTCAGTCACCTGGGCACTTCTAGACCTGCCCTTGGTCAAGTTCTGCTGGCAGCCGACTGCACCCGAGTTCTGCTGCCTTGCTCTGGCAAGTCAGGAGCCAGCTTAGGTAAAGGGGCCCTCAGGCAGCTCCAGTTCTCCAGCTCCTCTGTGAGGCAGGGCCTCGTTCCTCAAGGAAGGGACTGGTGGAGACCCACACTTTTGGGAGGCGGCTCGTCCTTCACACGAGGCCCAGGATTTCAAACTCAGTGAAACGGACAGACTCTGCCACTGCTGGTTGCTCTGACTCTGCCAAGACCAGAACTAGGGAGGAAAGACTCCCACCTTGGCAGGAGGACTCACACCAAGCAGGACTGAGTCCCTGCAAGCCAGCTGCTCCTGGACTTCATGAGGCTGGCTGGCAAATTCCCGCTCCCCGCTGTAGTGCAGCTGGGTGGGGCTCGACTACAGGTTGAAAAAGCTCTGCCTGAAGCTACAGCCTTCCCAGGTTGCTGGTCCCGATGCTTGGACTTTCCGCCTTGCAAGCAGTCCAGAAGGGCCCCCGCAAGCCTCCTTCCTTCCTACACACACCACAGGCTGGCAGGATGCTGCTGCTGCTGCTGCTGCTGGCAGTCCCTCCCCAAATACTCACTCTCCTTGGAAGGAAGGGTGTTCTTCTCCTCCGTATTCGTCTTCTTCAGCTTCTTCTTATCAAATTTCTCAACCTCCGAAAGATCTGGTTTGTCGCACATCTTGGCCACGCGGGAAGCTAAGCCGATATCTCCAGAACTGCAAAAAGCCACGTGGTCTCTTGCGGGGAGCGCGCCAGGGGCTTCCCGGAGTAAGGAAGCGATAACCCCCGTCCCGAGGCGGGGCGG